CAGATTTCAGCCCAAACCTGCAAAAATCTTAGTGTATAGCTGCTTTTAAGCATTTAAGTGATCCCACTGACTTTCATATGTATATGTTCTCTTAGAAGCCATCCCTTCTTTATGCAACATGGTGTTTCCTTTCTTGCAGTCAACAAAATGACCTAATCAAAATAAACTTCAGATTAACAAAACTTCTTATATTTCTTCTCTTACAAAGAATAACAAAATCCAAGACCAGTAATTGAAATAAATAAAATTCCAGTGGTGGTATAAAAATAATAGTGCCATGTATTGTATACAGACTATTTAAAACGCAGATGAATTAAATATATATAATGTGCAGGGTACTTGAAAGCTTGCACTAGTATTACTGGGGGCACTCACACTGCTTTCAGTGCTATTTAGATTTTTAAAAGGAATCAACCTAAAATGTAACCTGTTAAACTATCAGTTTTAGCCATTCCTGTCCTCTATCATATGGACAAATATTTTGGGCATTCTCAAAATGCACATTCTTACTTAATACAATGCCATTTCCATGACATCTGGGAACCTCTTCTGTTATAATGTAGTTTCTAAGTGAGAGTAGACAGATTCCAACACATTTTTAACTATGAAAATTAAAAGCTTAATGACTGCTTACACAGGTTGAAGTTGTAGTCTGGCTATACAAATTATTCAAGAAGTTAAAAAATATTTTGTAGAAATTCATGTTTAAACTATGAAAAGTTTAAACCTGCCTGAGAACAATTAAGCTCTCAGAGAGGCTGCAACGTCACAAGGACAAAAGGCACTGTATGTCCTATACTAAGGGAATTAAAAAAGTCCATGCTGTAAATTAAAATATTAGTTTCTAAGTTAACATGTATTGGAGTAGTGTGTTACACTCAATACAAATCTCAAGAATTCTACATGTTGAAAACAGGCCCCGGAGATTTTATTGTAATTTAAAAAAAAAAAAAAAAAAAAAAAGAGCTTTAAGAAAGGGATAAAATATTATAAAGATTGTGCTTACTGTCTCTCAAAAAGATGGCACTTAATTCTCCCCATTACTAAAATAAATCGTGCAACAGAGAGGAAACTTGTCAGGTTTGATCTTGAAAAGTTTGTGAGGGATTCATCCCCCCTTACAGGGTAGGATTTAATTCTGCTCCTGAAACCTGTGATCCTTGCAGCTTTGAAGAAATGTGTGAGCTGCCTTTTTGCTTGCACTGATGCCATTCTTTCGTCTGAATACCTTTACCCTCTAGCTGCAATATTAGTTGTTGTAGAGGCTGCTTTGTTTTTTAAAGACAGAACCCTTCCTCCTCCTCAGTCTCACTAAATGTGCTGTGTTCCTTTTTCAAAAGAGGCTGATCATTTTCATTCAGAGCATTATTTTTGTATGACGTATCACTTTAGCTTCCATTTTCCATGCACAGCACTAACCATCAATGACTTTTTAACAAGGAGGATTGTCCAGCCATCTCCTGAGATTAGCATTCACATGGCTGTGGGACAAAGCACTGCAGATTTGCCCAGCTTATCAAACAGGCCACCAGCTTTTATTATTTCTGGGAGAATCAAATTGGAAGTTGCTTCTTGAACTAATCAGGGCTGATTTGCTCTAAAGTTGCTTCCTGACTTAGATCTCAGACAAGGAAGTGCTGTAATCAGTTCCCAAGGGCTGTCAGAGTTGTGATGGGATATTAAAGGAATGGTACACTACCTTTTAAGAGTTCCCTGATCTTGGTGGCTTCTCATGTTTAACACAGTTAAACCTGAGCTTGTTGTATAGACTCAAAGTTTAATTTTCTGAGGTAGCTTTATATAAGAGATGATTTTACTTGAGGTTGCAGAACTGAATTTTGGAAAGAATATACTCAGGTTTCCTCCAGGATTTGTATAGTTCTGTTAAGGATATAGACTGGCAGAATTGTTTAAAACCAAACATTTACTGCCCGTCACAAAAAAAAAAAATCTTCATGAAAGAGAAAATGAGTCCCCCTGAGTGACACTGTTTGCATATTAGCCCATAGTGTGGGCTCTGCCAAGTTACTCTCTGACTGACTGCTGCAGATGCTCTTTCTCAAGTATTCTGAGTGAGATCTTTAGTGCAAGTCTTTGGGGACAAACAATAGCACCTGTTCCTCACAAGACAGCAGCCCAGTTAGTCCATTCATGTATCTTTAATGAAGCTTTGGGGCAGATGGCAAAAAATGGCATCATCAACAACTTAGCACAGAGGAGACAAAAGGGGAAAGTGCCAATCCAACAATACGCTATTTTTACGAATGGGAAGAGACAGAGTCAAAGTGTTTCTGAAGCATCTGCTACAGTCTTGGTTTTCAGAAAGACCTCAGAAACATCTCGCTATTAAAATGTCTGGGCACGGGATTTTATGAAGTACACCTATCAGCCCCTCCTCCCAATTTCTCCCCATCTCAGTAAAATCAAAATAATACTGATACTGATATTAACATTAAAACCCTCAGGAAAAAGTAAAAAATCAGGTGTCTACATTCATTTTACACCTTCACTAATTCAGTGATACCTGTACACTCTCTTCCTTTCTAATGTTTATTTGTGCTTTTCAGTTGACCTGTGCTGAAAATCGACACCTATGTATATAATATTTCTGTGTGAAAACAAAATTTACTTAGGAATAGTATTTAATATATGCCAGAGGGAAGACCCATGGGAGGGAATGGTTGCCGTTCAGTAGAGGCTTTTTTCAGTCTGTATAACTCTCTGAAGTGTAAACTCAAACTTATACTCTGAATGTAAGCCACCTTTAGCCAAAGTTACACTGATTTGTATAGACTGAGGACCTGATCCGGCATTCAGAGTAGTATTTCAAGGAAGAATAGCAGATTGCCAGAACATACAATGGCAATTTTCCACACTTATAGAACTGGTTTTATTTGAGAGGGGTTTTTTAAGAAAAACTTTTTTGGTGTCATGGAGTGGATCCAACTCTACAGAATTGCGTTGGGATATAACAATTGGATTTGGTTCTTACATATTTCAAATAATTTTTAAGACACTACGGTACAAAGTATTGGTATGGGTATGCATGCACCATGTACTCATGCATGTACTCACCTGACCTTTTCTGTCTTGTGTTATTATGTTGGTGTCATGTACATTTGCAACCCCATGGATATACTTTCTGTGTGTGGTGACCAAAAGAGATATTTTTTACACCACATGTCCATTTGGTTAGACTGTAGACGTGAACTACTGAAAAATATTGTAAATTGTATTGTATTGAATTCCTTACGATATATCCTACAGTTGTTTCTATCAGACAAAGCCTGTGGTTTTCATTTGGTGTATTCCTGTAGAGCCAGTGTAGAGGAACACCACACAGCAAAATGAGGACCATTTTATCAGAGATAAATGCCTGTGCTGGGCACATGGGATCAACTTCAATCTACCCAAGTTTAACTCATATCCTAAAACACACAGCCGGGCTTACCTCAGCTAAAATGAGAGAAATAGCTGCTCAAAGCTAGTTTCTTTCACGCCCCAGTGCCATAGCAGTAATTGCACAAAGACCTTTTCATTATAAGTTGATTTTCCTGAGAAATGGATTCAAAAATACTGTAAAGTGTTTATTTTTTGCTTGACCTTTATTAACCTACATCTTGGGGCTTTCCCAAGAGAAGAGTTGTTGGTAAATTAACCCTCGTAGACACACACAGTAGCATTTCTGCACTGCATCAATGGTTGTGAAAGTAATGGGGATATGACAAGAAAATTTGGTACTATTTGGACAATGTCACAGGTCACCATATGGGATTTGACAAAAAAAGTTTTTTAGGAATTAAATGAAAAAAAAAAAATGCTTGAAGTGTACTTTAACTTTTTAATAGTATTTAATACCACCCATTTATGGTAGGATGAGGGCAATTTTTTTTTCTGCCTAAAAACCCAACTTCTTCCTACATTTACTGGCTTTGATATATAAACCATTATATGTTTGCTTTACTACTAATCAGAAAAATCGTAGTCAAACCCTTGTGTACTTCTGGGCTAAGGAATGATGGATTAAGAACTATTTGTGATCCTAGCCACTGTCTCTGAAACACATGTAGCATAAACTAAGAAACTAGGAAATTAACATGTGGATTTAACAGACACAATTCTATCACATCTCCTGTTTTCTATATGTTGAATACAAATGCTGGTATAAGGTGAACAACTTTTTGCTTTTGCATGTTTATGCTTTTTGATACATTTAGTAAGGTCAAGTTAAGTTTGATAAAGTAGGTTTTATTCTTAAATGGTCTCTGAATACAGCTCCTTAATTACCAAGCTACATGATAGTATATAAAGATGTAAAACTACTTAAACAGACAATCAATTTATATATCGTAGTGAGGTGTGTATGGCAAAGGATGTTAGTTTAATTGGGAGCCAAGATGTTGGAGCTTTACATATTAAGAGCTGGGTTGTTGACTAGAAGACTATTTAATACTGTAGTAAGATTTTGAAATAACATACCTGAGTTGTTGGTGTATATCTGAACAGTACAATGCTGTAAGATCTCAGAATCAAAATTACCCTAAGGGTACTAAAATCTGAATATCAAAGTAGCTACTACTGCAGTGTTAGGTTACTTCTAAAATGCTTGTCACTGCTGTCTGTGACGAAAGATGAGAAAACTTGTAAAAAATTATTAGAAATACATACCCCTCTTCTTTTTAAAGAACCTATGATGTCTTAGAGAGGTTTTATACCTTTTTACCTTGTGCCAGGACAGGAAATATTAATAATAAAAAAATAATAGAGGACCAGGAAGAGGTAGGAAAATGTGCAGTTCACTGAGACTGTTACACCTTTGACACTGAGGGAAAACAATGTTAGTGAGGGCTTTGATGTGATAATGTGAAACTGGCAGGGATTACATTAAGGCAAAGGTTCTGTGGGACTGTGTGAACACAAGAACACTATCAGTACCGGAGAAATACCTGTCAAGACAAATTTGTGCTATTTCTGATCAGAGGCTCTCTTCTGTTTAGCAGGTTCAGGGTCACATGCCTCCGCTCATGATCCCAATTTTTCCACACGACCAGCGGACGCTGGCAGCGGCTGCTGCAGCCCAGCAGGGATTCCTCTTCCCCCCAGGAATAACTTACAAGCCAGGTAAGCTGACAAGGATGTGAAGCTATTTAACATTTTAAGATATTAACTGTAGCTTCTTGTGTGATCTGTCTCATACAGATGATACGTAACAGGTGTAGCTGGTTGAAAGCAGTGTGGAGATTTTGCAGCTCCACTTGAAAAAAACCTTCTGGTTTTCAGGAGGTGGATGGAATATTGGTTATTGGCCATCATGATTTTTTTAACCTTTATTTCCCATAAAGTCTTTTGCTCTAGATGTATTGGCCCACTTGCCTAGTAATTTGCTTCTTGTCTGACCTGTGCCATTATACAAATGCCATTATACGTATCTTTAATTAATTTTGTTATCTTCAGTATACTTGCCTTTTGTGCAAAATTCTAACTCTTTTGTTTGATTTCAATCTGAATAATAAAAGGTTTCAGTAGTTCAATCCCAGTCATCATTCAGACTTGTAACAGGTCACATAACCTTGCAGTGAAATATGTTTTGAGATGATTTAGCAAATGTTATGATTTCTTTCTTTTTTTCCTCCAAGTTTACAGGACTCCTGGGGAATTCAATTAGGGATATAATGGTTTGAAGCTACTTTCAGAGCCTCCTTGTAAACAGGGCTTTAAATGTTTAAAGACACGTTGCCAAAGGAATTCAATGTAGGAAGATAGTTAAGTAAATAAAAGTCAACCTTATTTTCATTTGTACATTCTTTGTAAGTGACCTCAGTCCAGAAGCAGCAACCTTATTTTGCTCAGTAATAGTATTCCCTGTCAAGCTGCCTTTAGCATATTAACCTGATAACTAATAACTACAAAACATATATACCAGTATCTGTTTTTGACATTAAATATGAAATGTACAAAGTAAAGCATTGATCCTGCTCCCACTGATGATAGTGGTGTTTTTGCTGTTGACTGCAGCTGGAACAGGGTCAAATCCAAAGTAAAGCCTCATAATAGATGATGTAAACAGCATACTAATTAAAAGCCAGGTTGAACCTAAAACCCTAAGTTTACTTAATATTAGATGAAGTGAGGCCAAGCAGGATTTCAGCAAGTATTTCCATTTGTCCCACTCCTGTCTCTTTAGACTAGAGGCATTCCTCTTTAAACACAGAATCTTTGTCCTATTATTATCTTATTTTCAGGTTTAGAAATCCTGAAGTTGTTCTCCAATTTGACAAACTGGTGCACTGTATGCAGTGCTCTGAAATGGAGCTCTGAAAGACACCTAGCTCTAGATGGCACAGGATGATGGTTATTCACACACATCACCACCTTGTGACTGTTGGGGACCAAAGTGAAGAATATTTTGTCTCCAAAGACATAAGAGTTGCCACTTGTGGAAACTGTGGAAATTTTCTTCTCACAGACAAGAGAAAGCACGTGCTTTAGTTTCCTTCTTTTCCCCATATTAATCTGAGATACTTTCTGGAGAATTACTATTAATGATTAAGCTGCTGGTTGTGCTTCTCCCTGAAAGGTGATACATCAAATTGTGTTGTGTTGATTTTGGATCTGTAGGCTACTTTGTAAAATAATGATTTGGGAAGAAGAGTACCAGCATGATTTTCTGCACAAGAACAGATTTCTGTGATTATTATAAAGTGTTCCTTACAGTACCTATCCTAACACTTTATCAAGCTTATACTGCTTTGTATTCTGTTGACCTCATAGCAGAAGGTGTTACAGATCTAGGGCATTATTTACTTGTTGGAATGCAGAAGGAGAGATCTACAAAACAAGTTTAAAGAACAAAGTGCAGGCAAAAATCAAGGCCTATAGATACCTTAGAATACAGCTAAGCTGTTGGCTAGTATGTTAGTGGTTTATATGCAGCTGTTGCTAGTAAAGACAAGAAGTCACAATAATCTGATTATACCCAGTGGCTTGCAATAAATGAGAATATTTATATTTTTAATATATTTATTAAATTTTACAGTTTGTGTGCCAAAGGTAGCTGAGCAGGTCAGTAGTTTCCATTGGAGAGACATAATGATAAAAAAATGCCCTTAACTACACTTGGTATTGATTAATTCGTGGTTTTGGCACTCTCGGCACAGTAGTTAAGGAATTAATGAAACTGGAGATTAAGCTACACTTTCATACAGAGCGTTCTCCAAAGTAATTTCTGAGGAATATTTATGAACTTGACTGCTACTACCTGTACTCCTCTACTTTTGTGAGAAATGAAACTTTCACCTCTAGAACTGTCAGTTTAGACTTGCTCATACTTCTGAGGAAAGGTAGCAGATAGATTAACCCTTCAGATACTTACAATTTTCTTCTTCGTTGTCTGTTTAGTTTCTGTTTCATTTTGCTCTAGTTTGATCTAGGCAAGACTGAGTTTTGACACTATCACTTTTCTTTGACGTTCAGAAAACACAGTGAAAGGGATTTCTATAATAGAAACTGTGAGAGCTGAGTACTTTTGAAACTGTGTCATTTAGGGAATGTCAAATATTGTGTGCACAGTCACTTAATTTGCTTTGCCCTCAAAGCAAAATGGCCTAGATATAAGCCAGCTCCAACTTGGAAGCAGCTTATCAGTGTTAGTGTAACAGAGCAGCCAAGATGTGAAGTCCTGCCTTGGCATACAAGTGGGGATATGATTATGTGCAGATGTCCATGCAGATATATCTTCATGGACTAAGTGGGAAATGATTTCATGGCTGTTTAGTTCAATGCCAAGATAGCGGTTACTGAGTACTGTTGGCAAATCTGCACATAAACTGCCTTGAAGTAAGAAAATGGTATTCCTATAACAATCTACACTAGGTCATGTCCTCAATTGAAGGATCTATAGAAGAGAGGAGAATTTACTAGGTTCTGAGTCCCTTCCAGCACATTCCTTAGTTGCTTCTGAACTCCTGAGCTCAGAAAGTCATTATGAATAGAAAACCTGAGAAATTGCTGATATATAACTATGATTCATATTAATGCCTGACAGGACAGAGTTTCCTACTGCCTGGCAGGAGCTATAACATGAAGTTGCTGTAAACCTCTTTCCACCCCTTCCTCTCCCTCCTCCCCAATGTTTTGGAGCTCTAGGAGGTGAAACAGTCCAAAGTTAGCAAGTGCTGATGACAAGTAATAATTACATTAGGAAAAAAAAAATCCCCAAAGCCCCATGCTTCCTTGTGTATCTCAAAGTCATGTAATATAATTTTCCGGCATGGTAAGTACTAATTGAGAAATCAGAGCTGCATAGACCACCTAATTAATTTTTTTATACATATTTCAGTATTTATACTGTATACTGGATTAATTAAAACTTTAGGGCGCTGTGCATCTCAAATGACTGTTGTGACTATTGACCTGCAGGCGCTTGACGAGCCTCGTAGAGTACCTGGTTGTGGGGGTAACCACTTATTCCAGTGGGAAGCTGAGACTGGCAGCTGTTAGGAAGCTGATACTTGCCCAGAGATGCTATGCAGTTAATATAATTATTTTGCATTCCAAGTACAGCAAAGCAACTGTGCTATCTTTCGGACTGTGACCACTATACTTACTACTTGGAACTGGTGGGTAACATAAGTATCATTATACCTCCTCTTCCAGTTCACATTTCCCTTCACTTAACCAGTCTCATGCATCCAGGAAAAGTTAGTGGACTGGAGTATCCCTGAATGTGATTATCCTGTCCCCATTAGTGCTCTGGGTCAACAGAAGACAGGGAGTGGCATAAGGAAGAAGACAGTTTCCTCCTCCATCTTGCAGTGCCTGAAGTATTACGTCCTTCAAGTTTTGTGGCTAAGAGGGAATGGGGAGGTAGAATGATGATGGCGTATAGATATAAAGTAATGCTGGGCAGGAGCCAGACCATATTTTGAGCAGAGCTCAAACAGAGCTCCAGTTTGCTCTGGGCAGAGAGTGGCTGCTCTCCATGCTGGCTGCACTTCCATGTGACTTGAAAATGAATGATCAGTTTTGCTTGATCAGTTTTGCTTGATAGTCTTCTATTATGTCAGTTCTTTACCAGGTGTGGAAAGTACCTCTCAAAAAGATTATCGAAAATACAGACATGAGGTATGGAGGTTGTAAACCTCTTTTTTAAAAGGTTTTGATTGCTGCAGTGTATTTTCAAAGTATTTCTTTGTATTTCACACATGAAGTATATAAAGATGATGCTTAGAATGCTAAGAAACAACTCCTGTCTGCCTACCTAGGTCATTCTACTTTATACACAAAAATAATTCACAAGAGATTTTTGCTATGCTGGCAATACAATGAAATGTGAAAATGGGTACAGTTTCCCTGGGCTGGTGGCAAAAATAGTGAGAAATGGAGCCAATGTTATGGCCTTGTTCTGTTCCTACTTGCATTGGGGCAAATAAACAGTAACTCCTTTGAAATCAATGAAAGTAAAATTAGATAAAGCACAACAAACAAACCTGTCAGGCTTATTATCATCCAGCTGGACTTAAGAATGTGTGATCTATTTGTCATCAAACTAATTAAAGTCCTTGATTATGGTAGCTAATCCACATAACTGACATCATCGTTGGTCTGCTGGATTTCACTGATATCCATCATTGCAGTTTCCATTTGGAATAGACCTTTCAGAAGCTTTTCCTTAAAGCTGTAAGGTAGTTTAAATTTTACGTAGCACAGTACTCCGCTTTCATTAGGCTGCTGTTCCTCTTGGCAGGTGAGAACAGAAAGCATACATCAAATCAACTGTGTACTGAGTTGGCCACATATCTTTGCATGGCAGAGGTGCTGCATGAGTCTTGTTTCTAGTGGAAATCCCCCAGGACTGAGTTAAAGTCTGTCATGTGTTCCCTCTTGGGTTTTACTGGTTGGAACAAGGAATTCATAACCTCAGGATTTGTTGTAGCAATCCATATGTGCCTCAGTCCTAAATGTTGAGGAAATGGTAGTAAGCAGCTGAATATTTTCAGCTGGAAGTTTGCACTGAAGTTCTTTGCCTGCAGAGAGGCAATTGTTGGGGCAACTGATTTTGCTGTGGCATGAGGATGGCAATAAGGCAGTGTTGCAGCAAACCCTGCTCAGAGCTAAGGCAGAACCGAGGTGGCATCATTGGAGAGGGGAGATGTTCCATAGTATTGCCATAGCCAGTTACCTCTGGTAACATCTTCCTCAATCCTGATGCCTTTGCACAAACAAAATGCATGCCCTGTATGGGAATATTGCAGGAGTGTATCCTGGCTTGCTGTGTCCTGACTACACCCTGAGGAGAGATATGCTTTCCTTGGTCTTTTCATTATGCCTGGGAGAGTAAGGCCCTGGAATTTGTATCTCTTAAGTCTCTTCCAACTCTGTTTCCTGTGAGTACCCATGGAAA